TTTTCTGTGTCCATGTGGCCTTTGCCCCACTGTGTGTTTGGATATATCTGTATCTATATTATGTGTCTATGTATGTTCCCTGCACTGGCTTCTTGGCATTCACACGCTTCACTCCGACCTTCCAAACCGAAGCACGAGGTGCACTGAATACACCACTGCCGGTTTTGGCTGTCAGTGTTGATGCCTAAAAGGACAAGCCTGGGCCAGGCAGTAGTAGCGCAGGCCTTTGATCCCAGCACTCCGGAGGCAGAGGCAGGTGGATCTCTGTGAGTTCAAGGCCAGCCTGGTCTACAGAGTGAGTTCCAGGACAGGCACCAAAACTACACAGAGAAACCCTGTCTCGAAAAACCAAAAAATAAAAGAATAAAAAATAAATCAGAGGACAAGCCTGGGGACCCCGTCTAGAGCCTTCATTTCTCCTGTACTGCTAGGGGAGCTCACTGCACGTCCCCTCCCGTTGCCTCCCTTATCACACTAGATATGATGAACGGCCTTGGCATTTCCCGCTCAAGGGGCTTCCTGCTTCTCTGTCACCAAACATTTAGACAGATGCCAAATGGTTATTTAAACCAAAACAAAGTAGCATCCACTTCGGATCCACCAGAAAAGAACTCTGCTCGTGAATTATATGTTATTATTATATGCGTATCTATGATGACAGGTTTGAATCACTGCTGCCACAGTGTTAACTATATGTGACTGTAGATAGTGGAAGGAATGCATATGTGTGTGCATCTGTGTTTGTGTAGTTTGTGTATGTATGTGTGTATTTGTGTACACAGGTATGTGCATGTGTATATGTATATGTATGTGAATACGTGTGTATATGTGCATGTGTATATATGTATGCATGTATACATGTATATGTGTGAATGTGTGTGTATATGTATATTGTATGTATGTGTGCTCGTGTATGTATATGTATGTACGTTCCGGCTATACCCCGGTTTCCTTTCCTCTTTGCTTTGCTCTGTGAAGTGGGCAGCTGTGGCTCAGTCACTCATGTGCTTGCCTAGCGTTCATGAAGCATTCATACATGTGTATGTATGTATATGTATTGTGTTAATGAATGTGTATATGTTTGTATTTATATATATGTATGTATATGTATGTTTGTGTGTATGCATGTATGTGGCTTTGTGTATGTGTGTATATTGTGTGTATTATGAATTTTGAGAATTTGTGTGTTTATGTTTGTATATGTGTATTTATGTGTATGCACATGTATTACACATGTGTATGTAAATGTGTATTTGTATATGTATGTGTATATTATGTATTTGTGTATGTATTTGTGTGTGTATGTATGTGTGTGTGTCTGTGAGTATGTGCATATATGTGTCTAGCTTGTCTGTGTGTGTCTGTATATGTCTGTGTGTATGTGTATATATCTTGTCTATATGTATATGTATACATGTGTATATATCTTGTCTATCTTGTGTATGCCTATGTGTCTGTGTGTGTATCTGTGTATGTCTGTGTATATGTGTCTGTGTGTATATATCTTGTCTGTGCGTGTGTGCGTGTGTGCGTGTGTGTGTGTGTGTGTGTGTGTATGCGTGTGTGTGTGTGTGTGTGTGTGTGTGTGTGTATCATTTGGTAATATGAGGCTTCACTGAAAATCTGGAAGACAGTGTGCTGAGATATGGCTCTTGTGAAGCAGGAGTCAGCATGCCGATGTCTGGATTGTATGGCCCATGCATGTTTTGCAACATGTCTGCTTTATTTCACCTACTTGGATGGCCAAGTGGCACAGACTTGGAGTCTTGGGTTAAAATTTCAAAACTCTGGCTAAGTTGCCTCATCTTCCTCCGCAGCTGACGGTTGCCTCAAGATAACCAGACAAAGGCGTGCTTGAGGCATGTTCAGGTGGTGCTGATGGTTTCTTCCTAACACGTCCTGTCTCCCCCAGACACAGGGCGGGAAGAGGACCCCCTCTCATGGTGCTGACCAAAGCAGGGTCCTGCGCAGAGCAGAGACAGGACAGGGGTCTTCCTTACAGAAGAGCAAGGAGGGCGGCCCAGCCATCACCCCTCAGGGATCCTGCCCCAGAAGGACCTCCTCCTCAGTGAGGATTCTTCCCTCCATGAGCTTTCATCTCCACGGATGGTCACCACTGATGATCATCCCGGTTTACGTGACTCAACACAAAAAACCTTCTGCTTTTATGATTTCCGAATAATAATTATCCACATTTAGACACAGAATTACCTATGACCCTGAACTAGGAGTCATGGTACAATATGGAAGGGATATAATTCCCAAACACTGAAGCGGGTGGAGATGCCTTCTGCAAAGTGAAGATCTGCCATGTCCCCGCTGTCCCTCTGACACAGAATCTCATTCCTGGCCTCGAACCAATGAACTCCAGTGATTTTCCTGCTTCACCTTCCTGAGCAGTCAGGACTGCAGACGCAGGCCTGTGCTCGGCTCTGCCTCTCTCTTTACTTTCTGCCCCC